TTTAGTTTTTTCGTTTGGATTATTATCATATGGGCTTTTTACTTTTAATGTTTTTTTTTCCTCTAGACTTATTGTTTAAAGTCCAAAATAGTGGAAAATCCTAAAGTTTGACGAACTCAAACCCAAAAACAATTAAAAATGTATCAAAAAACGAATATCCAAAAAAAAAGAAAAAAAAACGAGTCTCATGCGGCACTATCATGTCCTAATATATATTTTTACTGTTAGAACATATTTCCTAATATATATTTCCTAATGATTCACTTTTGAAGCTCCTAAGGCTATCCACATCAGCAGTGGAGTGGGCCCCGCGTATTTAATTTTTAAAAACTTATAGTTTTTTTAAAATGTCTATAAACAATGAATACACTTTAGCAAAGTGCTATAAGGCATTTAGTTAGGTCTGCAAGTGTGTGGGTTCAAACCACGCAGCTGTTATGTATTTTAGTTTTTTCGTTTGGATTATTATCATATGGGCTTTTTAGTTTTAATGGTTTTATGTTTTTTTTCCTCTGGACTTATTGTTTAAAGCCCAAAATAGTGGAAAAATCCTAAAGTTTGACGAACTCAAACCCAAAAACAATTAAAAATGGATCAAAAAACGAATATCCAAAAAAAAAAGAAAAAAAACGAGTCTCATGCGGCACTATCATGTCCTAATATATATTTTTACTGTTAGAACATATTTGCTAATATATATTTTCAAAAAATTATGTACGTGAAATAAAATAAAATAAATAGTTTTGTTATTTATAAAATAACTACGTAATTTCTCTTCAATTTTTAATAGTTACTATAATTTCATTTTTATCAGACTCCGGCGGATGGATTTCCACAGTCGATGACGCCGTAAAGAAAAATACCACATTATTCATGAACAAAATCCAAACTTACAAAAAACATATCCAAACCTACCTATTGAAACCCAAACAACAAATATTAGCTTAAATTAAAGTTATTTTCAAATTGATAAATCGTTTAGTAAAAATATAAATATTATAAATAAATATTTATATCAAGTTTTGACATCCGATATAAAAACTATTTCCAACATAAAAAAACAATATAGACGTCTATTTTTATACACTAAAAACTATATTATAATTTAATTATTCTTATAAATTTCGCATATAAATAACATTTAACACATTATATATATAATATTTTCACTTTGCACTTTTGTTACATTTTTTCTATTTCATCATTATTTGGTATTATTAAAATAACCCACTAAACCAACAACCAAAAAAAACACAGATCTCGACCCCGCGCTTGCGCGGGGGTTATGCAGCTAGTAAGATTTATACCACAATTTAATTAATGTATTTTCCACATTTAATAAGATTTTAATGTTTTTCCACAATTTATCCCTTAATATGCAGTGAAAAGCTCAATATTAACTAATCTAGGAGTAATTTCCACATTTAATAAGATTTAAATGTTTTTCACATTTTATACCTTAATATTAACTATTTTTCTACAAATATTATGCAGTGAGTCCGACCTTGTCGAAGTGATTGTTGCTGATGTGCGTGAAAAGCTCAATACCACAGAAAACATTGGTATCTATTCAGAGCTGCTGAGGATAGAAAGCTTGCTACGCAAGAAACCATGTGGAGTTCGTAGCATAGGGCTTTGGGGTATGCCCGGCATAGGGAAGACAACACTTGCTGAAGCTATCTTTGATCAAATGTTTGGTCACTACGAGGTTTTTTGCTTCATCAAACATTTTCACAAAGAGTTTCATGACAAGGGACTTTACGGTCTGTTAGAGGAACACTTCGGGAAAACTCTCAGGGAAGAGTTTGGCGTGAATAGTTTAATTACAAGACCTATCCTCCTTAGAAAGGCTTTGGGACACAAAAGAGTTCTTGTTGTTCTTGATGATGTGCGCAAGGCTCTAGATGCGGCTTCGTTTCTAGGAGGGTTTAACTGGTTTTGTCCGGGAAGTTTGATTATTATAACTTCAAGAGATAAACAAGTGTTTTCTCTTTGTCAAGTGGATCAAATTTACGAGGTTCCTGGTCTAAATGAGGACGAGGCTCTGAAGCTATTCTCGCGGTTTGCATTTGTAAAGGACATCAAACATGAGAATCTACAGGAACTATCAACAAAAGTAGTGATTGACTATGCAGATGGTAATCCTTTAGCTCTAAAGTATTTTGGGATAAAGACAAGGAAGAATCAAGAAGACATAGAGAGCACATTCGAGATAAGTCCTCCAGAGGAGATTGATGATGCAGTCAAGAGCACATATGACTTACTTGGTTCCAACGAGAAGAACATATTTCTTGACATTGTGTGTCTTTTCACGGGAGAAAGTATAGACTGCGTGATGCATCTGCTTGAAGGGTGTGGTTTCTTTCCACGTGTTGGAATCAATGTTCTTGTTGAGAAATGTTTGGTGAGTATCTCAAAAGGCAGAGTGTTAATGCATAATCTGATCCAAGACATAGGTCGCGATATTATCAGTAAAGGAAAGAGACTTTCCAGACTGTGGAAACCTTCGACCATTAAGAATTTTCTGGAAGACAAACACGTTTTGGTATGTTTTTTTTTCTAACTCTATCACAAACCTTAGTGAGCCAACTTCTTTATCTATTTGTTTCATTTTGTTGTTTCAGGGAAGTGTAGACATTGAAGCCATATCTCTGGACCCATCTGTCTTAAACTTTGATCTCAACCCTATGGCATTTGAGAAAATGTATAATCTTAGATATCTGAAGATTTGCACTTACAATCCTGGAAGCTATTCTACACTACACCTTCCCAAGGGACTTGAATCTCTACCAGATGAGTTAAGGTTACTGCACTGGGAAAAATTTCCATTGTCATATTTACCACAAGGTTTTGACCCTAGGAATCTTGTAGTACTTAACATGTGTTCCAGTCAACTTCAGAGACTTTGGGAAGGAACCAAGGTAAGAAAAATCATTTGCATAATAAATGCATCATCAATTTTTTTAATTTTTAATAAAGTTTAATCAATAGTATTTCAATTCTGTGATTATCAAGTACCTCAACTTGATTATTTTTAATAAACTTTTAATAAAGTTTAATCAATAGTATTTCAATAAACGCAATTATTTTTTTTGAAATTTGTAAATTTTTATAAAATCATAAAAACTCTATATATATTTGTGATACTTAGGCTCTGTTATTTTCTTGACATTTTATTTTTTCCCCAGGAACTTGAGATGCTGAAGAGGATCAAACTTTGTCATTCAAGACAGCTAGTTGATATTCAAGAACTTCAAAATGCTCTAAACGTTGAGGTACTTGATCTCCAAGGTTGTACAAGACTACAAAGATTTATAGATACAAGCCGCTTTCATCATCTCCGGGTGATAAATCTATCTGGTTGCACAAAGATCAAAAGTTTCCCAAAGGTTCCACCTAATATTGAGGAGTTGTATCTCAAACAAACTGGCATAAGATCAATACCAAGTGTGACCCTCTCTTCAAAGGATAACTCATTTACTTATGATCATGGAGGTCACAAATTCTTGGATATGGATGACTCGTCTGAGTCAATCATGGTTTATTTGGAAAACCTCAAAGTTCTTGATCTGTCTCATTGCGTAGATCTTGAGGATATTCAGGTTATCCCAAAGAATCTTAATAAGCTATACCTTGGTGGCACAAGCATTCAAGAACTGCCTTCCCTCGTGCATCTCTCTGAACTTGTGGTACTAGATTTGGAGAACTGCGTACAGCTTCAGAAGATACCATTGAGATTGAGTACTCTGACTTCTCTTACCGTTCTTAATCTCTCTGGATGCTCAGAGCTTGAAGACATTGGAGATCTCAACCTCCCAAGAAACTTAGAAGAGTTATATCTTGCTGGCACGGCTATACAAGAAGTTCCCTCGTCAATCAAGTATCTCTCAGAACTTGCATATTAGATTTGCAGAATTGCAAAAGGCTTCAACGTCTTCCCATGGCGATTAGTAACTTAAAATCTCTTGTCACACTTAAGTTAACCGTAGAAACTGGCATGAGTGACTTAAATCATCTCATCTCAGCGTTTAATGAGAATACATGTCAGCGTCAAGATTATTTGCCTCAACTAAGGCTGCCATCTTCAAGATTACATGGCTTGGTCCCAAGATTTTATGCCATAGTATCTTTGTCACTCTGGAATGCATCCTTGATGCATATACCTGAAGAGATATGTTCCTTGGATACAGTAACGGTATTGGATCTTAGCAGGAATGGTTTCAGAAAAATCCCTGAAAGTATAAAGAAGCTATGTAAACTACATAGCCTTAGATTGCGTCATTGTAGAAACCTCATGTCGCTTCCAAAGCTTCCCCAAAGCCTGACACTCTTGAACGTACATGGGTGTGTATCCCTAGAGTCAGTTTCATGGGCGTCTGAGCAGTTTCCTAGTCACTACACCTTTAACAATTGCTTGAACAAGTCTCCAGAAGTGGCTAGAAAACGAGTAGCAAAAGGTCTGGCTAAAGTAGCTAGCATTGGCGAAGAACATGAGCAGGTACCTCTTTCTATCTCATTCATTCACTTAGGGCCGGTCTTAATATTTTAGAGGCTACGGGCAATTTAGTAAGAAACTATATTGATCTTTTTTCTTACAAATTTAGGAGCTTATATATATATATATATATATATAATTTTTCCTAAAATTTTGGGGACTATATGGCCTAGGTTCAGAACCGGCTCTGCATTCACTTTCACTTTGACATATATTTGATCTTTGACTAGTTTTGTTGTAACCAGGAACTCATAAAAGCACTTGCGTTCAGCATTTGCGCTCCTACAGATACAAATCAGACATCTACCTACAATTTGAGGACAGGGTCGTTTGCAATGCTAGAGCTAAGCTCTTCCCTACGCAACACACTTTTGGGCTTTGCTATCTTCGTTGTAGTAACGTTTATGGATGATAGTCATAACAACGCTGGTCTTGGGGTCAGGTGCATAAGCACATGGAAGAGTAAGAGAAAGGTCATTAGTAAAAAAGAGAAAGTTTTTAGGTGTTGGGCTCCGGGAGAAGCTCCTGAGATTCAAAGGGATCACATGTTTGTGTTCTACGAGAATGCTGAGATGCATCGAAGTGTTGATGGTGAAGGAAACGAAAGATGTGTATTGACTGATCAAGTAGAGTTTGAGTTTCAAGCAGTAAATGGGAGAAACAAGGGTTTAGGAGGCAGTTGCGTGGTGAGTGAATGTGATGTTTGTGTGATGACAGCTGCAACTGGTGCGGCGAGCTTGAGTGTGATAAGTGCAACTGTGCAAGTAAGGATATGAGTTTAAGTAAGAAGCATTCTCCTAAGCTTTCAAGTCTGCTCGGTAAGCTTCGATTTGGGCGAACTGGGAGGTTTGTTGGTTGTGCTTGCTAAGAAAAAGTAAAAGAGAAAATAATGTATGTGAAAACATAAAAACATTCTTTGTTACTAGTTGCATACCCCGTGCTTGCGCGGGGTTGGGGATCATTGATGTTTACCTGTGTTTTTTTCGGTTGTTGGTTTAGTGAGTTATTCTAATAATACCAAATAATGATGAAATGGAAAGAATGTAGCAAGAGTGTAAAGTGAAAATATTATATATATAATGTGTTAAATGTTATATATATGTGAAGTAAGGTTTATAGGAATAACGAAATTATAATATAGTTTCTAGTGTATAATAATAGGTGTCTATCTTGTTTTTTATTTTTTTTATGTTGGAAATAGTTTTTATATCAGAGGTCAAAAATTGATATAATTATTTATTTATAGTATTTATATTTGTACTAAACGATTTATCAATTTGAAAATAATTTTAATTTAAGCTAATATTTATTGTTTGGGTTTCAATAGATAGGTTTGGATATGTTTTGTTTGTAAATTTGGATTTTGTTCATGAATAATATGACATTTTTATTTACGGCGTCCTCGACTGTGGAAATCCATTCGCCGGAGTCTGATAAAAATGAACCTAACTATTAAAGATTGAAGAGAAATTACATAGTTATTTTATTAATAACAAAAAATACTTAATTTTGTTTTTTTATTTTATTTCACATACATAATTTTTTGAAAATATATATTAGAAAATATGTTCTAACATAAATATATATTAGGACATGATAGTGCCACGTGAGACTCGTTTTTTTTAGGGATGAAATGGAAATAATGTAGCAAGAGTGTAAAGTGAAAATATTGTATATATAATGTATTAAATGTTATTTATATGCGAAGTAAGATTTATAGGAATAACTAAATTATAATATAGTTTCTAGTGTATAATAATAAGTGTCTATCTTGTTTTTTATTTTTTATGTTGGAAATAGTTTTTATATCGGAGGTCAAAGCTTGATATAATTATTTATTTATAGTATTTATATTTGTAATAAACGATTTATCAATTTGAAAATAACTTTAGTTTAAGCTAATATTTGTTGTTTGGGTTTCAATAGATAGGTTTGGATATGTTTTTTTGTAAGTTTGAATTTTGTTCATGAATAATGTGGCATTTTTATTTACGGCGTCATCGACTGTGAAAATTCATTCGCCGGAGTCTAATAAAAATGAAATTAAAGTAACTATTAAAAATTGAAGAGAAATTACATGGTTATTTTATAAATAAAAAAAATTCTTAAATTTTGTTTTTTTTTAATTTTATTTCACATACATAATTTTTTGAAAATATATATTAGAAAATATGTTCTAACAGAAAATATATATTAGGACATGATAGTATCACGTGGGACTCATTTTGTTTTTGTTTTTGTTTTTTGGACTGTTCGTTTTTTGATCATTTTTAATTGTTTTTTGGTCTAAGTTCGTCAAACTTTAGGAAACAATATGTCTAGAGGAAAAAAACATTAAAACATTAAAACTAAAAAACCATATGATAATAATTCAAACCAAAAAACTAAAATACATAACAGCTACGCAGTTTGAATCCACACACTTGTGGACTTCATTAGATGTCTTATACCACTGGACTAAAGTATATTCATTGTTCATACTCATTTTAAACAAACTTTAAACTTTTAAAATTTAAATGTGTGGGATCCACAAACTTGCTGACGTAGACAGCTTTAGAAACCTTAGTAGTGAACTATTATAATATAGATTGTTTGCATTTTGTTTATGTATGATTATATGTATATAATATTTTGTATATTAAACCAAAGTAAGAACGTATTTTAAAAAATTACAAGACAAGTACAAGTGCTGCTGAATATAAATATGATAATTTTAATTTTAGAAGATAAATCTATATAAATGTTTATATAGATGCAAAATTGTTTTAATTGATAATACTATATGTATATTATCATAGAAAGCGTTTACATTCTTGGGAATAAATTCTTTGTTTCTAAACTAATGTAAGAAAATTCAAAACTATTGTTTTTCTTCTTTTTCTTAAAACTATTGTTGAAGATGAATGATTCACAAATATATTATTGGGAATGATTTTTTTTTGGCGATATATTGATGGCACACTTGCCAGGAAATGACGCACTGAATAAAGGCTATAAATCATAAACCTGTATATATACACACAATAAAGTTTTTGTTTTTGTTTTTGAGAAACACACAATAAAGTTTATAAAATATGTGAATGTGTATAAAGTATAGGAACATATATTGAAAGAGACCATGGAAACCACATTGCAGCAGCTGGTGTTACCTTTAACTAAATGAGGATAAATCTTCATTTGCACACGCAACTCGTGAAAATGAATGTGGAAGAGATTCAAAACTGTTCTTGTGCTCTTTTTCTTGTTTGGTAAGCTATACCAGAAGAGGGGATGTCCTTGAACTGAGGCCGCCTATATATTAGACTTAGACGTTCGCAGGCTTTCATAATTGGGCCTATTAAGTCTATTGACTATAGACTGATTGGCTTTGACGGTCAAAATTACGTAGGCCCATCAAGAAAAAAATAAAAACGCTGACTCTCTACTGAAAGAGGAGACGAGCATAAGCGGCGACAAGAAAATTATCACTCAACCGCAATGGGATTTGACAAGTTCCATTGATTACATAAAAACTAAACAAATATTAAAAGTTTTCAATCAAAACAAGACCCAGTCTATCGTTTTTATATAATGAGAGAGCCAGCTCAGCCACGAGGGGTCGTCACCGCCGATAGAATAAATACGCGTTTTATCCTTGCTTTAATTTATATACAAATACACATGAACTGTCATAAAAAAAACAATCCACACCAATCATTCAAACATCATCCTCAAGAGTATGTAAAACCAGCTGTTACTCTCTAAGGGCATTACTGTCAATGCAACCTCCTTCAAGCCGGCTTAAAAAATGCCTCTAATTGAAACAGATACTAATTAATAGTTTAATTAAATTAATTAAAACTAACGTCTACGCATTAGAGGGAGGCAACAATGTCTTTGTCCGTTTACTTTCATTAATTCTCTGTTGCTTACTTTCTCTCTCTCTCCTCCTTCATCTTCTCCAAATCTCTCCCGATTTCATCGGCTAGGGTTCTTCACCGAATCTCAAGGGTATGTTTATCTTCTCTTCAGTCTACTACTACTGAAACCAGTTTCAGTTTCAACTCTTGTCGGAATCCAATCTCCTTTGTCTGTAATAACTTTCCATTTTTAGATCTATAAGCTTCTCTTTTATTTCCTCTTTCGATAGATCGAGAAAAAACGATGATGGCGATCACGGAGGGACGATCCCTCTTGTCTCTCCTCCTCCTCCTCCTCTCATCCATCACCACTCTAATCTCAGCCGCTGACTACACACCCACCGACCAAATCCTCCTAAACTGCGGCGGCTCCTCCGACCTAACCGACACAGATAACCGAACTTGGATCCCAGACGTCAAATCCAAGTTCCTATCTTCCTCCGGAGACTCCAAAACATCTCCCGCACTTACACAAGATCCCTCCGTCCCCACCGTCCCTTACATGTCCGCCAGAATCTTCCGATCTCCCTTCACTTACTCCTTCCCCGTCGCATCAGGTATTGGTTTAATCTTGGTTTAGTATTGTACGTGGTTTATTGACCGGTTTAGTATGGTCTAATTGTTCATGTAATTGAAACCGAATTAAACCAACTGAAATTACATGTACAATTAAACCATCCTAAACCGGTTAATATGTTGTTGTAACAAACTCTGTAACAAACTCTGTAACGGACTTCTAAACAGTTTCTTGTCTAATACACAGGTCGTAAGTTCGTTCGTCTCTACTTCTACCCTAACTCCTACGACGGCCTCAACGCCACAAACTCCCTCTTCACCCTCTCCTCAGGCCCATACACTCTCCTCAAAAACTTCAGCGCCTCCCAAACCTCACAGGCCTTGAACTACGCCTACATCGTCAAAGAGTTCGTCATCAACGTCGAAGGCGGGGCTCTAAACTTGACTTTCAAGCCCGAGTCAACGCCTTCTAACGCCTACGCCTTTGTCAACGGTATCGAGGTCACTTCGATGCCTGACATCTACAGTAACACCGACGGGACCTTGACTATCGTGGGGACTAATAGTGGAGTTACGATTGATAACAGTACAGCTCTCGAGAATGTGATTAGGCTTAATGTCGGTGGTAACGATATTTCGCCTTCTGACGATACCGGTTTGTATAGATCTTGGTATGATGATCAGGACTACATCTTTGCTGCTAGTCTCGGTATCCCTGAGACTGCTGACCCCAACATGACGATTCAGTATCCTACCGGTACACCTAGCTATGTTGCTCCGGTTAATGTCTACTCAACCGCTAGGTCCATGGGTCCCACGGCGCAGGTCAACCTTAATTACAATCTGACGTGGCTTTTTAGCGTTGACTCGGGGTTTAGTTACTTAGTCAGGCTTCATTTCTGCGAGGTTTCTCCTAATATTAATAAGATTAATCAGAGAGTGTTTTCGATTTATCTTAACAACCTGACTGCTGAGCCTGAAGCTGACGTGGCGGGATGGACTGGAGGTGGTAACGGGATTGCGATACATAAGGATTACGTTGTGATTCCTCCTGATGGGAAAGGGCAGCAGGATTTGTGGCTTGAGCTTCATCCGAATCCGAGGAACAAGCCTCAGTACTATGATTCGATTCTCAACGGTGTTGAGATTTTCAAGATGAATAACACTGATGGTAATTTGGCGGGTACTAATCCGATTCCTGGTCCTAAGGTGACTGCTGATCCGTCTAGAGTCTTGCGTACTCATCACACCAAGAGCCATACTGCTGTTGTTGCTGGTGCAGCTAGTGGAGCTGTGGTTTTGGGACTTATTATCGGTTTCTTTGCGATGTCGGCGTACAGGAGACGTAACCGTGGTGAGTATCAGCAGGCGAGTGATGCTACTTCAGGGTGGCTTCCTTTGTCTTTGTATGGAAACTCACATTCCGCTGGCTCCGGGAAGACGAATACTACGGGAAGCTACGCGTCGTCGCTTCCGAATAATCTTTGCCGTCATTTCTCCTTTGCGGAGATTAAAGCAGCTACGAAGAACTTTGATGAGTCTAGAGTTCTTGGTGTTGGTGGGTTTGGGAAGGTTTACAGAGGTGAGATTGATGGCGGGACTACTAAGGTTGCTATTAAGAGAGGTAATCCGATGTCTGAGCAAGGTGTTCATGAGTTTCAGACGGAGATTGAGATGCTTTCGAAGCTTAGACATCGTCATCTCGTGTCTTTGATTGGGTACTGTGAGGAGAATTGTGAGATGATTCTTGTGTATGACTACATGGCTCATGGGACGATGAGGGAGCATTTATACAAGACTCAGAACGCTCCTCTTTCTTGGAAGCAGCGTCTTGAGATTTGTATAGGTGCGGCTAGAGGGTTGCATTATCTACACACCGGTGCTAAACACACTATCATCCACAGAGATGTGAAGACTACTAATATTCTGTTAGATGAGAAATGGGTGGCTAAGGTCTCTGACTTTGGGCTGTCAAAGACTGGTCCTACACTTGACCACACACATGTGAGCACTGTCGTGAAAGGGAGTTTCGGTTATCTTGACCCGGAATACTTCAGAAGACAGCAACTAACTGATAAGTCTGATGTCTACTCCTTTGGTGTAGTTCTATTCGAAGCTTTATGTGCAAGACCTGCCTTGAACCCTACGTTAGCTAAGGAGCAAGTTAGTTTAGCTGAGTGGGCACCGTACTGCTACAAGAAGGGCATGCTTGATCAGATCGTGGACCCTCACCTCAAGGGCAAGATCACACCTGAATGCTTTAAAAAGTTTGCTGAGACAGCGATGAAGTGTGTGTTAGACCAGGGAATTGAGAGACCGTCCATGGGAGATGTTCTGTGGAACTTGGAGTTTGCGTTGCAGCTTCAGGAAAGCGCAGAGGAGAGCGGGAAGGGGATAAGTGAGATGGACATAGATGGGATTAAGTATGATGGTGATGACTGTAAAGGGAAGAACAGCGACAAGGGCTCTGATGTGTATGAAGGGAATGTCACTGACTCGAGGAGCAGTGGAATAGACATGAGCATTGGTGGTCGGAGTTTGGCCAGTGATGATTCAGATGGGCTCACTCCAAGTGCTGTGTTTTCTCAGATCATGAATCCCAAGGGGCGTTAGAGAGAAGAGTCTTGAAACCCGGTACAGTACTAAACCGGCTCCATCCAAAGGATACTGGTTCGTGTCTCTTTCTCTTTGCTAATTATTTATCTCGTTGCTGTTATTTATTTGTGTATTTGATACATACCACGATCATAAAGAGTGTAAAAATTAATGTGTCTTTTTGGCTTTTACAAAACATTAAAACGTATGATTGGCTTTCATTGTACTATTTGGTTTGTTCTATATAACGCTTTTGTAGTGGATTCAACCCGTTAGAAAACATTTTCTTGTGCTTTTGACTTGTGAGAAACGGAGACATCACATGACAACTATTGTAAAAGCGGAATTGGTGATAGGGTTGTTATATCAAGCAAGTCTAAAAAGTAAGATGGTGACACATCTTTAGTCAACGAGAATAGGGGTTTTAACCGTTAATTACATTGTTAGATACGCATAAACCGAACATAGCTGTTGTGTCAGACTTCTAAAAAGCCCAAAAAATCATGGAAGCAGACAACAAAAAGTGAGCTGTTCAAAAAAATAAGACAAAAAAAGTGTATTGTGTAAAGTGTAAACAACCACGACGATTTAACTCGTTAGACGGGTAAAAGTTCACTTTTCTTTCACTAGTAAAATACTCATTTCAAGTGCAATACATTATTCATTTAAGTGTAGTAAAACTTTTGGTAAAAGAAAAGATTTTCTTTGAAAAACTTTACAACAAATGGGGAATGGGCCAAAAGAACACGACACATCCAGTGAATGTGGACAGAGAAGCCAAAAGGTTTGCTAGCCTAGTTCTAGTTTTCTTTCTAACGTCCTATTTACAGACACATAAGAGCTATTTTCCAACCGGAGAACATTATCTTACACTTATCCACATCATCAGTAAACAGACACAATTAATAAACAAACTTAAAATGGATATTTGGGTCAACTGAATTTCTCTCTAAGCTTTTTTTACATTCTTGAAGTTTGATTCACTAGTTTTCTCAACAATAACTGAATTTACACTTTAATCCTATGGAATTCTACAATACTGGTGCAACCATATTGTCTTTTATTGAAAATATATTGTGCAAACCAACAAAAAAGTTCAAAGCTGTACATTTTCTATCAATCAATACAAAAAACACTTACAAGAACACATGTACTCAACGAGTTGAGCAATCATTATTATTTTTCTCTTTCATTGCATAAAAAGTAAAAAAAAGAGTGAAAACAAATTATTTTCCCAAGCAACTTGTGTGTTTTAAGAAAAAAATAATATAAAAAAAAAGAATCAAAGAGGAGAAAATGGCTCAGGAGGAGAGTCGAAAACATTGTCGAAGATGAGAGAATGATTAGACTCATCATCAAGGTTAAGTAGCCAATTAGTCTCCTTCACATCTTTAACATCAAGGAGTGACTCGTAACGAGCACTATCACTCTTCTCTATGTCTTCTTCTTTCATTAGGCTTTTTCCTTCGTCCTCTTCCTGGTTACTGCTGCTGCTTCCTTCACTACTACCACACCACTTTCTTGAAGTAGACTTGATGCTTTGTGGGTACAACATTGTGCCCAAAAACGGATTTGCTTTCCCTTTTCGTGCGTCCTACAAAAAAAAAATAACAAAATTTGTTTCACAATGATATAATGTTTTTTTTGTTTTCTAAGTTTTATTATTATTTAATAATTGTAAATTGTAATTTTCAAGAAAATAATTGGTTTAATTGAATTTTTATTAATTTAATTTTATTGAAAATTAATAATCATAGAAATTATGTTTTATAAAAGAAATTTAATATATGTTTGAACAAATGAAAAAAATATTTGGGAAAATAAGTATCATACTGTGAAAAGAGAATGTTACCAAGTGATTGTTAGCAATTTGGACCGAAGCTTTTGACAGTTTTTTCCCGGACTTTGTTGGGTCCGAAGCAGTTGCAGATGACTTTACAGACTTTGAAGTTGCTGGTGATGTATGTCCGACGCCAGAGAAAGTAGGAATCAGAGAAGAAGAATGCCCTTTAGGCCTCGTTTTTGTAACATCAGGAGATGTGTTCCGTTTTGGCGAAGTTACATTCCTTGTGGTTGCCACTGGTCGACCAAACGCTAGAGTGACTGTTTTTTCTCTTCCTCTTGGCGGTGTCTGAGGTGTTGATGAAGGTGATGGGCGTGATGACGCAGAGGTAGAACGCACAGTACTGATCTTACTTGAAGGTGCAGCTAAGTTTGTTGCAATCTGAGGCTTTGACCTTGGAGTCAACGATCTTGATCTTTGAGAGTCTCCAGCTTTCTTGAAAGAAGGAGTAGTTGTTATACTGATTCTTGAAGGAGTTGAAGAACGTGTTGGTGTTTTGCGTGATACAGGAGTTAAAGAACGAGAGACAGTTCTCTTTGGAGATGCAACCGAACCTGAAGCTGTTGTTGTTGTTGTTGTTGTTGAAGTTTTCTTAGGGGCTGATGAGGACCTGACGACAGTTTTGGAGGGACGAAGTGTTGGAATGCTGGAGGGACGAAGTGTGGGAATGTTGGAGGGACGTTCTGTTGAAGTGCTTCTCCTTGGTTTTGAAGATGGATTGCTCTCACTCTGCAAGAATACAAATCTTATATGATTTTGTTCAATGGATATTATATATAGCTAATGTGTAATATTGCATTCATACCTTTGTACTTGCAGCTCTTGTGGTAGAAATGGACTGAAGCTTGGAAGTTACGTTTCTAGCTTGTAGAACTAATTTAGAAAGAGCTTCTAATGTAACTTCAGGAACGGTATAATTAAGCCTAATTGCATATCAAAACATTATAATCTATTATTTCCAGGAAATATTGTTTACAAAAAAAAAGATGAAGGAGAGTATTAAAATAACTTACTGGTCATTCCAAAGTTCTTTCTCATCATCAAGTTCAGGTGCAACTTTAGCTTGTTCAAAAGAACGTCTTCCTGTCTTAAGCAAACCAGCTGCCAAATAGAGAATGATACATTACATGTACATATGCAAACTATACTATATGACACAGCAAAAAATAGCAAGGTCTGACATTATGATACTTTACATGTACATGCAAACTATACTATATATGACCAGATAAAAAGAAATGGCAAGGTTTTTTTTTCTTAACTTGGTGCTTCATTAATCATCGTCTTACACACATATATATATAACATTCTGGCTAGCAAAAATAAATAATAAGTATGGCTCTGCTCAATATAACATGCTCAAGTTATTTTGGACCCTAAGTTACACCATTTTCAACTAGTACATAGAAGCTTCTTAAGAATGCAAAACGCGCAGTTGCAGTATGATTGTGTTGTTGTAGAAAAGCAAATGAAACACACAAGTCAACGAGGAGGAAGATAAGATGATACCATCTAGAGAAGTCAGGGCAGAACGGTTGACTGAGAAGAGATCTGAATTCTCGTCGGCATCTCCAACAACTAAATCATCGGCAGGTGGGTTGTTTTTTTCAGATAAAGACTTTTTCAGACTCCGATCGTTCATCTACGGGAGGTGGTTTTACAAATCAAGACAGAAGAAACAGAATTCAGATAAGAGATGAGAAAGAGACAAAGGAGAAATAGAATGTTTCTTTTCTTCTTGTTTTTTTTGTGTGTGTTGAATAATAACCAATTAAAATACAAAAGAGTTGACAAAAGGAAGTTGTGAAAAAGGTGCCATATAAGAAGAAGAAGATAGTAGTGGGTGGGGTTAGTTTTGAAGTTTTTAAGAAGAGGCATTGTCCATTCCGTGTGATACTAGTTTTCATGTCGTTTTCGTGCAATCTTTTTAATTTATCTTAAGAAACTAAAATGTGAACATAGGATAGACTCATCTGGAGCTGATTCTCTTATGACGCGTAATAGGACGTGTTTCAATATGACGCGCACGAAAAAATTAGCTATCTAATTGTATAACATAGCCGCTTTTCTGTGTAATCACCATTCGGATCTACCAATAATATTTGTGTTATTTGGTCAAGTTATCCAAATCACTTTTACTGAAACATGTCAGGCTTCAACAAAATTAGGTTAATGACATAAAATGGCATCGTTTTTTTTTTAATGACGTGTGCTGGTAGGCCCTATGTGTTGTAGCTGACTCCACATATTTAGTCTACCGACATTGAGATCATTGTCGGTAAAGCCAAATTTCTTGCTTTTGGGTAAAGAATTAAGAAGATTTTTATGTACAATTTTGCAACTCTTATTTGGAACTTTTCTCATGGATAAAGGTCACGTCTAAAACTGTTTGCTCTTAAGAAAGTTGACAGGCTCACAAGTTCACAACCATCTATCACTTATGGAAACAGAAGAATAACATCCTTAGGACCGACAATCTCTCCCCACTGCAAGCATCTTTAGAAGTACCTTTCGTGATATTCACAACATCATCCTCGCGACAAGACACAAAATGTTATACAGACATCTACATCTTAAAAGCCAAGGGAGTAAATACACATCTACTGATAATAATGATTCTACTATCCTACCAAAACAGTGAAAGCAAGCAAAGTCCTTCCACAACAAGTTGGATATGTTGAACAAGTCACTGAACAGATGGTGATATTGACACCATCTCCAGACATGAAGGACTCATGTGATGTTGAGATGATCATTAAAATTGCAGGCAAATTCGCTATGAGTCTACTCGTTTAGCTGCTACTGCTGCAGCATTCACTCGTTGGGAACGACATTGACAGAACTACAAACCAATCAAGCTGGTAAAATATAGTGAAGTGAACTCTCAACAGAAACAAGCTCCTTTTAAAAATGCAGAATCATCTATTCAAGAATGTGGACGACCAGTTTTAACGTTAATCATCTCTTTTATCTTGTTCAGCAGCTTCTTTGTTAGCAGCTTCAACAGATTTGAACCATAGGAACACCTGAAGACAGAACCCACATAGTTCCAGCTAATGAAATAACCCAATCGAACTAAATGTACAATAAAAAGAGAAGAACTCACAGAAGTGGGGATTCCAGTAAAAGCAACGAATCCAATTACAGGAGTGTAAAAGATACTGTCGGATTCCAACACACCCAACACTGGATTCTTACTCGAATACTCAAAAACAGAACCAATCTACAATGACACAAAAAGATAACGTCATTTGATATGAAAAAAGAAGTACAAATATAGGGAGAGTAAGCATACAGCAGCAATGGCAGTGATCGCGGAGGCTAGCAGATAAACAAAGAAGGGAACCTCCAAGCTCTCTTGGGATGTAGAGGAAGAAGAAGAAGAAGAACGTCCTTCCTCTCTTGCCCAAGGAGGTGGCTCATCCGAGTCTGGATTCGCCCAAGACGGTTGAATTTCTTTAAGTTTTCTAGATCCTTCAGTCGCAGCCGTCACGACCAATCTCCTCACTCTACTATTAACTAGCATGCTGATGTGGATGAGAGACACGTGGACTCCCCAAAGAGGATACTTTTTTGACAGTTTTGAGTTTAACTTGAAGAGACAAGAAGTGAGATTCAGACAACAATTCATAGGTTCTGCTTCTGTAACCAGATACATGTTACTACTATATAGAGTTGGTTTTTTTTTTGTAACACAAGAGTTGGTTTGTAGATAACTACATCTTCACATAAATGAGCCAGACAAGACAAGATAAGTGCTAGGTTTAGAATCATCAAGGGTCAACTAAAACCTTCCATTACAAGGAGTTGGAGCTCAAGTTTCTCAGTTTCAAGTGCTTTAACATCATCTTAGATTTCCTTTAACCCTCTCTCCTATACGAAGCTGTCTTCCTCTAGCATCAAATAGTTGCACATCACTGCTCTCTACTCAGATGAATCTAACCAACCTTAAATTCCGGTTGAACCACATTACTCAATAGTAAGACCGGTTTAATGTCAGGTTAGAGACTCAGAGGCAATGAGTATTATAAGCAAGAGGTTAAGAAGATGGACCTTGTGTAAACGAGGAGACCTTTTCTTAAAGCCCTTTATAACATGATTAAGGTTGTCAAATGATTCTTACTATTTCTGAATTTTCATGCACAGAAGAAGCGCCCAAAAGAGAGAGAGGAGAGAGTTTGTTGTTGTTTGGTGTCACCTTCCCCTTTTATTTCTCTCCTCTTGACCAACTAACTTTCTCTAGATTACCGTTATTACCGCTTCTAAATTGTTGCATGCTTCTGACTAATCACTTTAACACTTCCTTTTTTTTCTATTTTGTAAGGAAACAAAACATCCTTTGCAACAACTTTTTCTTTGTTTGTTAAATTGCATAAATTAAGGATAATAACCACCTCATTATCAACTCTTCTTTTATCCTTCTCTCTACGAAATGATTCTTGAACATTAACGTATTCTGTTTGCAAGGAAGAAACATATGATGTTTTGTCCACTGAATCATTATTGATCATAAGAAGTCAAATCACTAATAACAAGATGAGGAGCGTAGTGCTTGTTTCTCTAGCCGCTGCAATAGGCAATATGTTGCAGGGCTGGGACAATGCCACCATCGCAGGTACATCTCTTTCTTTTCTTCTTTACATACTTAATAAATAACAAAGCCATGATTAATATTATTGATTGTATTTTGATTGCAGGAGCTGTAATTTACATAAAGAAAGAATTTCACTTGGAGACAGAACCAAAGATTGAAGGACTCATCGTCGCAATGTCTCTCATTGGAGCCACTATGATCACAACTTTCTCCGGTCCAGTCTCCGACAGAGTAGGAAGACGCTCTATGCTAATCCTCTCCTCTCTCCTCTACTTCCTGAGCAGCATCGTCATGTTTTGGTCTCCCAATGTCTACGTTCTCCTTTTCGCAAGGCTTCTTGATGGGTTTGGAATCGGTCTAGCTGTCACTCTCGTTCCCATTTACATCTCTGAGACCGCACCTTCTGAGATCAGAGGCCTGCTCAACACTTTCCCTCAGTTCTGTGGCTCTGGTGGCATGTTTCTTTCGTATTGTCTTGTCTTTGGAATGTCTCTTCAAGAATCTCCCAGCTGGAGGCTGATGCTTGGGGTTCTGTCGATTCCTTCGGTTCTTTACTTCTTACTTGCGGCTTTCTTCTTGCCTGAATCTCCGAGGTGGCTTGCCAGCAAAGGAAGGATGGAAGAAGCTAAACAGGTCCTGCAGAGACTCCGTGGCAGAGAAGATGTTTCAGGTTTGTCTGTAATTAACACCAAAAGCTCTTTAGATTATTGACTTATGTAGACGAGAAGCTACTATAATGCAAAGATCTTGTTTATAAAAAGAAAACTCTTAATTTTATTAATCAAATCTACAACTGAATACTAATCATAAGAAGCCTATTTATAGAAAAGCCAAGTGATATTTGGAATATATCGAAATATCTCTATGCATCACTTTTGACATAAGACTAACTCGATGTGTGTGTGTGTTCTAGGCGAGCTTGCTCTGCTTGTAGAAGGGCTTGGGGTTGGGAAAGACACGTCGATAGAAGAATACGTGATTGGACCGGACAATGATGTAAGCGAGGGTGGACATGAACTACCAAGGAAAGACCAGATAAAACTATACGGTCCAGAGGATGGACAGTCATGGATGGCTAAGCCTGTCAAAGGACAGAGTTCTCTGGCTTTAGCGTCCAGACAAGGAAGCATGATGACACGTGGAGGATCCCTCTTGGACCCAGTTGTCTCTCTCTTTGGCAGCATTCATGAGAAGCTTCCTTCTGAGAACATGAACTCATTATCATCACGCAGCATGATCTTCCCAAACATGGGAAGTATAATGGGACCTACGGGAAGGCAGGAGTCTCAGTGGGATCCAGAGAGGCACAATGATGACAGCTCTGAACATGATGAAAGCTTGAACAGTCCTCTGCTTTCTCCGCAGACCACTGAGTCTGGTTCCGTTGGGACCATGCAGAGGAGACAGAGCAGTTTGTTTATGGCAAACGTGGGTGAGACGGCGACTGCTACAAGCATAGGAGGTGGATGGCAATTGGCGTGGAAGTATAATGATAAGGTTGGTGCAGATGGTCAGAGAGTTAATGGAGGGTTACAGAGAATGTATATCCACGAGGAGAGTGCTAACAACAACAACAACAACACTGGCTTCTCGCGACGTGGATCACTTCTCTCCTTCCACACAGAAGCTGGTGTTCCTGATCAGAGTGGGAATGGATTTATTCAAGCTGCTGCACTTGTGAGCCAAGCTTCTATGATTCCTGGAATTAAAGGTGAGACTGCAATGTTGCCACAGGAGGTTAAGGCTGGTCCTGGATGGAGGGAGCTGAAGGAACCAGGTGTGAAGAGAGCTTTGATGGTTGGAGTTGGGCTTCAGATACTGCAACAGGTAATGGTTTTTTATTTATTTCTCTAGAGAGTAACAAGTAAAGGAGAGGAAGCATGTTTACAGTTTGCAGGAATAAATGGAGTGATGTATTACACACCACAAATATTGGAAGAAACAGGTGTTTCAAGTCTTTTGACAAACCTTGGAATAGGTGCTGAGTCTTCATCACTTCTCATAAGCGCCTTAACTACACTCTTGATGCTTCCTTGTATTCTTGTTTCCATGAGGTTAATGGATGTATCTGGAAGAAGGTGCTTTTGCTTCTCTTTTTTAGCTGAATCTCTCACTAGTTATAAATGTGATAATATGTAACAGTACCAAAGTGTGTTTGCAGGTCTCTGCTGCTTTCTACAATCCCCATTCTAATCCTGTCGCTGCTAACGCTTGTGATAGCAAGCTTGGTGGAGCTTGGAGGCACAGCAAACGCACTGCTATCAACCGCTAGCGTTATGGTGTACCTAAGCTGTTTTGTGATGGGGTTTGGAGCCATACCAAACATCCTCTGCTCAGAGATTTTCCCTACCTCTGTGCGTGGCCTCTGCATCACAATCTGTGCCCTCACTTTCTGGATCTGTGACATTATTGTCACTTACACTCTTCCAGTCATGCTCAAATCTCTAGGCCTTGCGGGAGTCTTTGGAATTTATGCATGTGTTTGTGCTGTAGCTTGGGTTTTCGTGTACCTCAAGGTGCCGGAGACAAAGGGAATGCCTCTTGAAGTTATCTCTGAGTTCTTCTCTGTTGGTGCGAAACACCAAGACGCTGCAGCTTCGTTTCTCTCTGATGGCTGAACTTCTTTTCTCTGTTCTTTTTCAACTTTCCTGCTGTAATTTGAATAAGCTTAATAATAACAAACCATACCCCTAGAGACTTTCTTGGAATCTTGATTCTGTAGCTGCAAAGTGGGAGATGTTCCCTTTAATAACCATGAAATAGATTCAGAGTTTTTATTCTTCTGTTGTACATCTTCAGAGATATTAATCACAATCACCATGACATTAAATACGAATTGGTTTGATCTCAAGTGTAGCAACAAAAAGGGATAAGTACATACTAGAGCCATTATGAGGTCTCTCTGGCTGCAAGCACTCTAACCATTTACTTAGATATCTCCAAGCTGCCTTTCTCTAGAGGACCGAGCCTTGACGTCTTCTTCTTTCTCTTTCACAAAGGAGAGAAAGGAATGTATACTTTCCGATGGTGAGCTTCTCCTCCTTATAGAGCCCTCTGCTTCTACAGGACAGTGTCTTCCGAATTTGCGTATCATCAGCACTATATACACTGCAAGAGCAGCAACGCACGCCACTCCACACACCACAAACAATCCCCAAAAGCTCTTAAGCTCCAGCCTATCCACTTCTATCTCTGCGCCTTGCAATGAACAAGCTTTCCTTAGCAACCATTTGTCTCGTATCCTCTGCAAATCTCCATTCTCTGAGAGTTGAAGAATCGCCGTTGAAACGTCAACCGCCAAAGGAGAGTTACGTGGGAATGCCTGAACAAATGGGAGAGAAAAGACATTATCAGTTCTAACTATTCTGCTGGCTGTTGTTTAGATTCAGAACGATACTCACAAATCCCCAACCGTTTTTAGTGAACTCTTGACCAACTATGCCGAACTCACATCGGTTAGAGAGGAAAAGCTCTATGTAAGCACGTTCACCAACAACAGCAGCAACACCACCTTTCCCTGGACCATCTCTCAAGGCCTTCTCGTATTCCTCTGGAGACCGAAGAGGGACCAGTCTTGACTCATGGATCCTGAGCTCGTTAACTAAATAGTCTCTGACAAACGATCCTTGTGGATACCCAATGGGATCATTGTTTGTTTCCAATGTTTCTATGCCCTTGATTGGTGATGATAGCTGATGAACTGTCAGAATTGACGTGAGACTAGCGGTATAACTTGAGTTGATTATAAGAACTACGAATAGCCATATAAGCAGCACTATTCTTCCAAGGTTGCTGACCGTCGTCTCCCCTGAATCAATTCAGCAGAAAACATTGGACACAGTTTCAGAAATGCAAAACAACTAGTAAAGAAGATGGGATGTAGGGAGTATACTTACTATGCGAGAAGAAAAGAGTTGAGAAGCTGAACCTGCAAAACAACGAAACATTTCAGAAAAAAGACCTTTGAATTGAGTCCATTTAGTTCTGTTTTCACCAGAAAGTAGTGATGACTTGTCTACGAGGAGGGCCTCGAAACTCGTCATTATGTTTGTGCTCCAAACACCAGATGACTGCACCGACTATGAGGAAAGAAGAAGCTGCAACAAGCCACATCTGCGGAGTGAAGGGCCTCAAGAACGCCATAGCACTGGAACCTAACTTCCGAACAGGAGCCACCACCACTAGCCCTGACTCCACATACGGCTGAGTAAAATCCGCCATTTTGGTTCTCTCTGTTATGATGGTGATATCACCAACACCTGCATCGTAGACCTGTGCACAAGATGTCATTATACACCCACCAACAGAGCCATCATCATAACATATTCTAAAAGAGTGCCTATGTACTCACCCCAGCCGTTATCAAGCGCACTAGCTCGGAGTTACTTGGATTATCATGACCACTCCCAAAAGCCACAAGCTCAAACGGGACTGCATAAGGCAATAAACTGAGAGCGGCTACAAAGACATCAACACAGAAGCCAGTGATGATCCCGTTTCTTTGAACCGAGACAACCTCTTCAAACCTGTAACGATAAGGAACTCCAATCCTCAAATGTCTCCCATTGTTCGAGAACACCCATCCACGTGGATTCTGTGTTGTCTGCCCTGGCCAGACAACGCTATGAAGCTTCTTCTGTCCCGCAGAGGACATGTTCTCCATCTCTTCAGGCGGCGTCACAGACAAGCCTAGATGATCAGACCAGTAACCAATGGTCCTGTGACCAGTGCCGATGACGTTAATCACATCAAACGCTGGATTCACAAGGTTCCTGTCTTTAGTAAACTTCATCCTACCCGTTAACCCAACTCTATCAACCTCTAAGATTCTCTCAAGAAATGTATTTCCTCCGTCAAAGACTTTGAGAGCATCAAGGTGCAAGTTCCCACCTCTAAGCTCAGATACAATCGGACTCTTCGAAAAGGAGACGTTTCCACCTCTCTGGAGATAATCATTAATGGCATGAGCGAGCAGCCAGACGGTGTCGTAAGCATATAGTCCGTAAGTGCTCAGTCCAACATTAGTTAAGTTATGCCACCTTGTAACGAAGCTCTTCTTCATGACCGAGTCAGGAGTGTGCAGGCGCAGAGCAATGACACCTTGAATGTTATTTATTGTGTCAAAGGGAAGAGGAGAGACTGTATCTATGATAGTAGAAAGCCAGTTGGTAGCAATCCACACATAACCAGGGCTCATCATACCAAGATACTGAGCCGCATTGAACACCTCTAGGCCCCAGATGAAAGAAGCGTGAACAACAATGATCCGTGACTCACTCAAAGCTACCTTAATCAGCAAGTTGGTTATGTTCTCTCTGGTTGGTTCGGGGGGCAAAGCTGCTTTGTATGAGATTCTGCAACGCTTCTCTGCTAACTTGTCTCCCAGAGCAGCTACACCATTTTTGCCATAATCATCATCACCATAGATTGCGATGACTTCTCTCCAACCGTAGTAGTGGACAATGTCTGCTATGGCTGCCATCTGGAAGAGATCATTTTGTGAAGTTCTGATGAAGAAGGGAAACTGAAGAGGAGACATGGTTGGGTCAGTGGCAGTGAAGGATAATATAGGAATCTTTAGTTCTGTTGCAACGTGAGATACTACACGGGCTGATGTTGATCTCTGAGGCCCAATTATGGCTACAGTCTTAGACTCCATGAACCGTAGAGCTTTCAATGTGAAACAAAAACCACTCAGTCAGTAATATGAAAACTAAAAACCAACACAGAAACAGAGGACAGTGTGACTTACGTTCCATGATGCTCATGAATCCATTGAACTTGGTGTCATGCATGATGATATTGAGTTGAGTGTTGTTGAGAACGCTGGGGTTGGCATTCACGTCGTCAACAGCAGCTTGCATAGCTACTTTGATGACTTTACCAATGAGAGATTTGAATGTAAAAACCGAGCCGATGTTCACAACTTGGGGTCTGGGAGAGACATTTGTGGTTTGTCCTTGTAGTGGAACAACTTGGCAGAGAAGAAGCAAAAGCAGAATCCACCTCATCTTCTCAGTTTCAGCAGCTTCCTCCTGTTTCAGAAAATTAATAGAAAGGACAAGTTATAGAGTAACCACCATTGCAAAGCCAAACATAGTAAGCTCAGGAATATTAAGGGAAGAGAGAGATATGATTCACCTGTAGCTTTCTCACTGAGCATGAGGGAATGGTGGATCAAGTTACTGAGTGCCCCTTGAAAATCTATAGAGAGTGGAGAGACTTTGTAAATGGTGGTCACAGAAAGCAAGAAGCAGGTGTCTCAGTGGAACCATCACCTCCATTGACGAAATCTTACTCAACCCATAGCCTTCAGTGGAAGCATCCCTCAATGGATGAAACGTGGGAACTTTGCCCAACCCACTCTCTTATCTCAATATGATTACACTTCCACATCAAATTAACAACCTCCTTATAATATTGAATACACCACTCAGATGTAAAAAAAAACCTCAGCTTTAGCACATTCGAGTTAGTGCGCAACAAAATAAACACACTCTCAAGTCAACACCTACTTCTTGCTTTCTACTACTTAAATGATAGCTTCCAACTGTTTGGCATCTAAACATCACAACCGTATTACCATGTGGTAATCAAGAAGCAACGGAGATTGAAAGTGTATCAATTGAAATTTCAATTAGGGTTTCGGAAACTGAAATTGCAATTAGGGTTTCGGAAATTGAAATTGCAATTAGGGTTTCCGAAACTGAAATTGTCGGTGCCGATGTTGACGCCAAGAAATGGGTTTGCGGAAAGGTTAAACCTTGACGACACAACCTTCATAATTTCTCGCTCCAGCTTCTGTGTAGGCATGCTCTGTGTTAATAAGGAGTAAAAAAAAGTTTAATTTTTAATATATTTAAATAAAGTAGGAAACACACGTGGCAGCACGAGAGCTACTTGTTGAGTAAAATAAGGAGGAGGAAAAAGCTATTTCTGTATTTATTTATTTAGAAACAGAGACATGATGATGGTTTGGTTCTGTTTGAAAAAAAAACAAAAACTGATCGGAATCTGACAAATGGCACCGGAGACAGAAGTTTCACCAATGATCAACAACTTGGAGGCCGGACCTGGAGATGAAAACATAACTCACCTTAGCTCCTCCGGGAAGCCTCCAAGGAACCTCTCCGCAATGCGACATTGTAACAGCACTGCTTGGTTGATCGATTCCGTTGGTTTTCTTTCTTTCTTTCCTTAGCTTGATCGGCACGTGAATCTTCCCGATCTGATCTCATTGACCTAAATTCTAAAAACGCTTTTAACATTGTGAAATGGAAATAACGTAGGAAGGAGAGGAGAGGTTTGGTGCAAAGTCTCCTGAAGGACAAAACTCCACGTGGAAGCCTGTTTTCAGATCTGGAAGTTGGTCGGATAAAGGTCCGAAGCGGTCAATGGAAGATGAGTTCATCTGCGTGGATGATCTCAAAGAACATATCGGATCATCCACCGGAGCTTTCTATGGGGTAACTCTCTGTTCGAAGAGTTATTAGTATTTATCAAATATGTTCCTATTTAAAAACAGTACTTGACTAATGACAAAAGACATTGTTGGAAAAAAATGGTCGAAGATAGTACTCATGTAATATAACAGGAGAGAATTTTCTTATTACATAGTCAAAAAGATATGTGGTTATGAAACAGACATTAAGTGGAATGGAATTGATTGGGTGGTAGAGTTCTAGAACATTCTTGTAATGTGACATGAGAAATGTTTCCTTTTACATAGCCAAAAAGATATATGGTTTATGAAATTGAACGGAATTGATTGGGTAGTAGAGTTATAGAAACACTTTATGAAAAGTAATATGAGAAATATTTCACGTTTACATAGCAAAAAAGATATGTGACTTTAAAAAGGGATTAAGTGGAATGGAATTAACAACGTAGTAGGATTGTAGAAACACATTGTTTCATGCACTTAGCTTCATGGAACAATATGCTACACATAATCAAAGTAGTTTTAAGATTACTGAGATCTGATCATATGCTCTGTTTTTACAATCATTGTGTTTCTTGTGAAGGTATTTGATGGACATGGAGGTGTTGATGCTGCACTATTCACAAAGAAGAACATTCTAAAGCTTTTAACGGAAGACAAACACTTCCCAAGCAACACCAAGAAGGCGACAAGGAGTGCCTTTGTCAAGACAGATCACGCTTTAGCTGATGCTCCTTCTCTAGACAGATCATCAGGGACAACAGCACTCACTGCTCTCATCTTGGACAAAACCATGCTCATTGCAAACGCAGGTGACTCCAGAGCCGTCCTCGGCAAACGAGGCAGAGCCATTGAGCTATCCAAGGACCACAAACCCAACTGCACTTCCGAGAGGCTACGTATTGAGAAGCTTGGAGGTGTCATCTACGATGGATACCTTAACGGGCAACTCTCGGTGGCTCGAGCGTTAGGAGATTGGCATATAAAGGGAACTAAAGGTTCGCTATGCCCGCTAAGCTGCGAGCCTGAGCTGGAGGAGATTGTGCTTGCGGAGGAAGATGAGTATCTTATAATGGGATGTGATGGACTTTGGGATGTGATGAGTAGTCAGTGTGCAGTGACGATGGTGAGGAGGGAGCTGATGCAGCATAATGACCCTGAGAAATGTTCTCAAGCTTTGGTTAAGGAAGCATTGCAACGTAATAGCTGTGATAATCTTACTGTGGTGGTTGTATGTTTCTCGCCTGAACCGCCTCCTAGGATTGAGATCCCCAAGTCGCATAAGAGGAGAAGTATCTCTGCGGAAGGGTTGGATCTTCTCAAAGGTGTTTTGAATGATTTGTGAAGGAACTGAGTAAAGCTGAAAAAGGTAACAAGAGACTTGCATTGAGTTTTGTTTTTTATTTCCTTTTTTTGACAGAGATTCCATGTTGTCTGCTTTTTATCCAAGTTTTGATTCCATTCTCTTATTCTTTTTGTAAGGAAATTTATACCCATTTTTTTGTATTGTAGATCTTACCATATCTGAATGATTTTTAATATTTGATTTGAAAAGGATCAGTTTTTGACAGTTAAAACCATTGCTTGATGAGATCAAACAAAACTATCAACTTTCACTCCTCACTCTACAACATTTTATCATATATATCAAAGTAGTCTTCCACATGTATACATGACAATTCCACACAATTGAAGCAACTCTCACCTCTGTATTCTCATTTCTCACAGCAGCTACAGGTTTCTTTCCTGAATTTGCTTCTTGAGCTCCTTGCTCAAGTAGAAGGCCTCTTTGGTCTGTCTTGGAACCAATTCTGCTTTCCTACCTCTAGATCAAGTTAGAGCACCGTGGAAGAAGCCAAGTATCTCAACAAGGATCAGCTAACGTTGTTCTTTGTGAATCAGAATGTCGTTGAGGACCGCGGTTACTCGTCCTTAAAGAGTTAAGATTACTATTGGATAAAGAATCAGGCCATTGTTACTGAGATAGTTATGCTAATGCCATGAGTAAACATATAATGAAAATGAAGAAATGTGTGTAATTGTAATAGTATCGAGTCATTGGTGGATGTGGGAGTATTAAGCTCATAAGGAGGTCACCACCTGAGACAACTGCCTCTACATGGTGTCACAAGATCCAACTTTGATTACAAGAAAATAACAAACGGAAAAAAAACTTTTGGCTCAAACTTGAGCGGCATGTCTTAGTTAGTGTTCACAATGGTCACCCCCGAGAGGAGAAGAAGATGAATCAGCCTCTGGGCTTGTGGAGACGTGGCCGGTTGCAGAAGATCCGGCCATTGGCCCTAACCAGTGCTGCGACTCCCACACAGATGCCCGTCCACAGAAGCGTGAAGAACAAGTGCTTATGCTTGTAATCACTCCCAGCTGCTCGGAGCATTTGTACAAAGTTTTAGACTACCGTTGGAAGAAAATATAACCATCCAGCAAAAGAAGTATCAGTCTTACCTTGTTTCAGAGATATTGTTGCAAACCAGAAACTGAGCAGAACCACCGCCAATGCCACTGGGAAGTTCTGAGATATCAAATTAGTTTGGTGTTAGACTAGGATTCTTTATATGATGAGATTTAATCTTAACTAATGAATGCTTACAGCTACCGCCTCGAGGCCCCCCTTTTGAGGCACAGGAGCCATGTCTCGGTTCACAGCAACTATGTAGTGCCCTTGCAGGAGATCAATCGCATCCTTTTTTTCACACAGACAAAATTAAGTAGAGTCAGGACACACTCCAGGTTCAGTGGTTAATGATTCAACAAGCAGTCACAAACAGTTCTACAACTGAACGTTATTAAATGAGATAAGTGTGGTTCCTAAGAAGGAATAACCACTAACCTGCTTAGTTCCATCAGCAAAGTTATTCAGGTAATAGCGTCGGAGGGAACTCCAACCATCTTTAAGGACACCTTGGGCAGTCCGATGCCCATACCTATAATTATGCCAGTTAGAGATGCATAGAGTAAATGAAAAAACACTCCCTTCTAAAATTGACTGCAGCATTATAGGCAGGACATAGTTAGACCCGAGATAAAACATATGGAAAAACTACCTGACAAAGTCTCCTTTAAGTGCAGGAGTACCAGAGTACTGAATGCTGACGTCGTCACCATGATTAGCCCATACTGAAAAGCGCAAGTGCATAAGCAAATTTTGGAATCTTACACTAAGTGCTGCAATATCAGATTTGCTACAAAGACGAGAGACTGACAGATTTTATAGCGTTCGTCAAAATTTGGATGGGAGCTTATGGTTTCTTCAGCACCAAAGACACCGATCCTTCTGAGTTGAAGCTCTAACATCTTTCGACCGATCATGCTCTGCACATGTGCAAGAAGTATGCACCATGGATGAGCAAAGGCCAATGAGGTAAGAGCCGCATCATCAAACTGTTATGACTAACCTGGGTGACATTTGTACGGTCTAAGCAATCTATGCAGTTTGTTCGGACAACACCAAGCTGCTCCTTCATTTTATCACCCTTTTCATTTAGTAAAAAGTACCTGTGTATTCGGAGAATGCACAACAATTTGCCATTTCTTATATAATTATTCATATTTCAAAATTATGTCTGTGGAAATGTCCAGAGTAATTCATACCCGTTTTGTTCAAGAAACCCCTCGATCTGCTCGTACAGAATTGATAAGCGCTCAAAATGAATATGCCCACAGATTTGATGGAAATCAAAGTGTAGGTATCTACAGGATAAGAAATCTCCTTTAATTAGTTAAAGATAATAAAGTATAAATGATCTAAGAAGCACATTAGACAGCATATTAGCTACCTTATTTCATCCCCAGTAATGTGCTGCATAACACTAGCAAACTTCTCACTTAAGCGCCCCTCACCACCGTGCTGATTAGAGAAGAAGCAATTGAGGATATAGAGTTAAATGTGTGGATCAGTTTTTGCAGTTCATATTTTAACAAGATCTATGCATTGCACTTATTTAAAGATCAAGAAGAGCTCGCAAACATGATGTGTACTACAATTTGAGTCACATAACTCCACAAACATTCATGTCAATTTGAAAGAATGTGTACCTTATTGACAAGATCAACTGCCAAAACTGATCCATATTTTTTCCTTAGGTCCAAGAAGTGACGTTCAGCAATCCCTGTCTGCAAGAGACGCACCCAATGCAAGTTACTAAAAAGAAGTAAAGACTGAAAGAGTAAACTCTAAACAGAAATTAGGACTCACAGCTTCTTCTGGTTTCACAATCTCAAACTTAGGCTTGTAAGTCAGATCAACAATCTGCTCCCACATAAAGGGCATGGATCCTCTGACCTGCAAATGGAGGAGACAGAAATAGCATCAAGAATTCAATCATGGATTTAGAACAGTATGAAATAAAGAAAATGAATGGTTGTCATATAAAATGATTAAAGGTTTGCAGCATAAGGGAATTCACAGTCCGAGAGCGTGTTAAAAACAGCACCTGAACAAATGAGGACGTATATCCATTCATCTGTACAATTTGCTCAGTCTCCACAAAATTAGCAACGTAGCCATCGGCATCAGCTCCTCTTCGCCACATACGCGTACCTTGTAAATGATAAAAGAAAAGGGGCAAGACACAATCAGAACACAATACTCGTCATCTGAATTTCCTGCGGGCGAGGGGACATATATGTCTCCTATATGTCTAAAAGATATAATCTCAAATTGATGTTCAAGTGCCCATCATCATGTTTTCACATTCTAAAAACAAGTTCCATGATAGTAGTCAAGTAGAAAGATCATAGTAGTCTAGTAGAAAGATCATAGTAGTCAAACAAATGACTAACGTCCCAGCGAGCTACTTACACATTCACACTAGGCATCAATACCATAAACCTATCCAAACTTTCCCATTCTTTTGAACAGTTACTCTCGAACAACTTGAAACCAGGTAAAAATAGCAGAGAGAAATATGTACCGTTTCTCCTAGTACATCTTCTTGCAATCAGAGTAATGTCAACGATATCTTTCCCAATAGCCGTCTCAAAACTATTAAAACGTGATTATTGGTTAAGGAAAGATCCGTTCATTAATAAAACGTTCCCATGTAGAGTAAACAGAAGAAAAGTGAGTAAAAGAACTGATAAAAAGGATATTCCCTTGAACTACTGGAAGCAAGAACTGATCAAGCTGTGAACGGTAGACAAAAAAGGTAAGATATTTTGCAAGTAGGAAAAACAAGGGGTGTGAACTAAATAAAGAATCTCAGAAACATAGATACCTTATTATCGATAAGAACTTCCAGCATGTAATTGTTCCAAAGAAACCTCGGCTCAGCCTGTAAAAAAAGGTCACAGCATTTTACGAAAGTTATTCTCAGTCCTGTCACAAACAAGCAACAAGGAATCACTAACTAATGGTTTTAAAGAACTTTGATCAATTTCACACAAGTAGCAATATGATCACCTGTCTCCACAGAGGAAGCGACTTAGACTCAGCACCCAAATCATGCAAGCGTTGTGTGCTGAAAATCACAAAAACGAAATATCAAACTAACAGAACCCTTTCTGCATACCTTAGAACAGTACTACAACATACCTACATCAAAAGGAAGAAGATAAAAAACCATTTACCTCAGTGTTAAGTTAACTTCATATGAGAAAAAGAGACCAGTTGTCTTTTCAGCAACACTTAGCAGCCTGGAGAACTCAGTCTCCATCTTTTTCTACCAGAAATGACACAAACACTTCGAAAGTCAACATCCACAATTACTGCCAATAGATCATTGTCAAGACACAAGAGTTCTTTCGCTTACCTGTTCTTCAGGCGAGTTCTTAAGTGAATGATCACAAGGAAGAACCTTGAGAGATTTTATCTTGAAAATAGGATGGCCAAGAAACGAACCAACACGCTCACTCTCCGTCACAACCACCAAATATGATCCTGAAATCAAAGAACATTGCAACCTAATCAAAACTCTAAGATAAACAGTATGAGGATCCATTGTTTCTAACCTAATCAAAACTCTAAGGTAAACAGTAAGAGGATCCATTGTTTCTAACCTAATCAAAACTCTTAAGGTAAACAGTAAGAGGGATCCATTGTTTCTAACCTAATCACAAACACCTAAACATCAATACCATCTCAAAGGAAACATATCATCAAACACCATAAACAGTAAGAGGATCCATTGATCCTAACCTGCGAGGAGCTTCAACATCCCAACGACACCAGAAATAGGATGGATTTTAGGAACACGCAAGGAATCGCATTCTCCCACTTGATCTGAACAACGCAACGAAAGAAGATGAGAAATCAACCAGCGATTTCAAAAAACGGTTAGGAGATAAAAGAAGGAACGAACCGATGAGCTTCATGGAAGCGTCGACGCGGCTAATCTCCAAACAAGGAGCGCCTGAGCCATCCGCAGGTTCGATCACGTACTGATCGGGAAACTCCCATAGACGTAAACGGGAATGCAATCTGTTAGGAGAATCCGTAGCCGCCTCCATACTGAAATCAACAAAACCGTAGATGAGAGGAAGAAGAAGATAATCAATTGTAAAGATGATCGCGACGGAGGAGGAAGGGAGAAGATCACCTGAGATCTGAAGCTTTTCGCCGAGAAGTGAATCCGAGAAGTGTGGGGGAGAGGCGAATAAATTGAATTATGGAAATGGTTAAGAACGTGGTAATGATTGCTTTGAGTTAATCGTTGGATCAAAATTCGATTTTTAGTGGGAGACCACCACGTCACCCTTTCAAAAGCCAAAGCCAAGCCAGCTAGCTTCTTTGAGGGAACTGGTTCGATTCCTGCTTCTTAACTTTTTGATACTTCTCAACTTAGATATTTCACAAATAAATTATGGGATAGGGTGTATTCAACTTACGAGTTTCATTTAACTTGTATCAAAATGACAAATTCACTATTATAGTATTGTTCAAAGATGAATTTTAAAGATTCATATTAAATCCAAGGTTATGTAATTGACATTTTATAAAGTACTTTAGAATATTGTTATTGGAAATATTTTAAGTAAGTTTTCAAGTGATTTTAGGGTGTTTAAATGGAATTTGTTAGTTAAAAAAACTAAAATTCAAATCTTATGGTTTTATTTGATATTCTAGAGTGATTTAACAAAAATCAATTTAAATTCTACATCAACTAATATTAAAAAGGGAAAACGACCTATTTCCACACAAAAAGTATCATATAGTACCAATTCCACACGATTTTTCAATCTCGTCGTAATTACCCATATTAGAAGTTTAACAACCTATTTCCCCCTAATATTAAAGTTCGAAACCCGAACCCCCACATCCCCGATTAAGTTTAATCTAACCAACAGAAAATCTAACTAAACCTAAGACGGCCCATTTATGACCCGATTTGTGATGATAAACCATAATTTAACTAACCTACCTGCTAACCGGTTTTAATTAAAAAATCAGATCCAGATCTCTGTTTATCTCTAACTTGTCGTGAACCCAAGGCGACTAAAAACTGAAACTTTGAAGCATCGACTGTAGGAGATTCTTTCTGGCTAATCGATTAGATCAGGTGATTTTGTCGCCTTATCTTCTTCTTTTTTTTGAGTTTTTACTATGATAATTTGTTTTGATTGAATCAATTTTTTTTACTCTCTGTTTCAATTTCGAATTTTTGTTTGTAGAATGTCTGAGGAAGTATGGACTGATGTGAATGTTGAGTGGAATGATGTCCCTGAATTCGACCAAGGTTATGATTCTGATGGTGAAAATCGATGTGAGCGTAACGACTTCGACATTGAAAAATATGTTGGTGAATTCGTAGATGAACCTTCAGTTAGACACGACGAGTATCCGGAGACAGAGGATGATGAAGAAGGAGAAGATGAAATTCAGAGGACAATCTATAGGCGCAGCGATATTAGGAGAGGCAATGGTCACTTGTATGAAGGACAAGTATTCATCAGTGGTATCGTGTTCAAGGAAGCTGTGGTAGACTATGCTTTGAGAACTGGTCGAAACATCAAACAAAACATGTATGATAAGACGAAGCTGGAGTTTGTGTGTTTGGGGAAAGGCTGTAGTTGGCGCATATACTGCTCAACTTCGGGAAAGTCTCCTAACAAGTGGCAGGTGAAGATATTTAAGGAAGCTCATAGTTGTGTTCCCACTGGTACATGTGAGCTTCTGAAAGTTCCGGTAATTGCACGGCTGTTTGTTGACAAGATTCGAGAAGAACCCGAGTACTTTATGCCAATGAAGATTGAGGAGTTGGTTATGGAAAAATGGAAGCTTAGTGTGACAAGGCCTCAATGTCAACATGCTAGGAACAAAACGTTAAGATGGATAGAGCGAGAGCATGATGAGCAGTTTAGCCGCCTTCGTGATTATTGCTCAGAGATAATGGTGTCAAATGAGAATTCGTCAGTTGAGTTAGATTGCGTGCAAAACGAGAAAGATTTTGATGTGTTCAACAGATTCTATGTCTGTTTTGATATACTTAGGAAAAGCTGGAAAAAAAATTGTAGACCTCTCATAGGAGTAGATGGGACTTTCTTGAAGTCAAAGTTGAAAGGTCAGTTTCTGGTGGCTTTGGGTCGTGATGCTGATAATGCAATACACCCAATAGCATGGGCTGTGGTACAAGTCGAGAACAAGGAAAATTGGCGGTGGTTTATAAAGAAGGTCAAAGTTGATCTAGGACTAAACGATGGAGATGGTTTAATTGTCTACATTAGCATATGTTTCTGTTTTCATGAAATTGTTGCTGTTGTTGTAGGGATTGATTGCTGCCGTGAAGATAGAATTGCCTCGTATTGAGCATAGGATGTGTGTGAGACACATTTATGGTAACCTGAAGAATGCACATGGAAAGAAACCAGAACTAAAACGACTGATTTGGAACCTTGGTTGGAGTTACAATGAAGGTGATTACAAGGTAAATCTATAGAAGATATTGGCCTATGAAAAAGAAATATACGATGATGTGATGAAGTCGAAGCCGGAGACTTGGGTAAGAGCATTCCACAAGCTTGGACCATGTTGTGAGGATGTGGAAAACAATTCCACGGAGTCATTTAACAACACCATAGGTAAAGCCTGAGACAAACCTTATGTGCCGATGCTTGAGACAATTGCTCACTTGGCCATGGTTCGTATAGCGAAACGCGATGTGATTGCCACCAATTACAAAGGTCTTTGCACGCCATATGTGGTACACTCTTGAGACTTTGCGTAAGAAAGCTTCAGAATGTATTGTTCGACCGTCAACAAACAAGACATATGAATCTAGTCTCAACAGTTGTGCATATAGAGTAAGTTTGGGCAATATAACTTATGCGTGCCGGAGATGGGAGATCACTGGTATTCCTTGTGAGCATGCCTACGGTGTTATGTTGAAGAAAGGTTTAGAAGCTCAAGACTATGTCGAGCACTGGTTTAGGACAGAAACATGGCGAAACACTTATGTTGACGGTATTGTTCCCTTGCGAGGAGCCAAATTTTGGCCAATGGGACCAGATCCTCCTATTCTTGAGCATGAAGTTCCTGATCAGCCAAGTCGCAAGAAAGTTACTAAAGCTGACAAAAAGAGGAAGAGAGGCATTAATGAGTCGCCGGTGAAAAAGACAGATAAGTTGTTGAAGCGAATAATGCATTGTGGGATCTGCAAGGCTGCAAATCATAACTCACATTTCCATAACAAGAAACCTAAAAAGGTATGTTTCAAACCTTTGAAAACCATGTATTCTATATTCTTCCATGATTGAAAGTTGTATTGTATTATATTTTTCAGGTCTCTTTGGGAACGAGTCTTCTCAGCCTGAATGTTCTCAAGGAGCTTGCACTCAACTAGAAAATTAAGATGTGGTTTAGTAATCTTGTTTTGAGTTTTTTCTGCTACTTTTAAGACAGGTTTCAGCAACCAGAAGATTAGGTCAATACTTGACCCGTTTCAGCATCCAATAGGGTCACCCAACTTTCGCCCTCATCACAAACTCCACTTTCTCTGATCCTTCCAAGTTTGTTAAGCTCGAATCTCTCTCCTCTGCCGGCGTCACTCTCCTCAAAGTCTCTTCTTTCTCCATTAATCTCTCACATAAATCGGAAAGTTTCACTTTCAAAAAAAAAATTCTTCGTTTGATTTGGTTATTGGGTTTTAGGGTTCATTGGAGGATGAAGCAAGCTTAGAAGTAGCAGTAAACAAAGTCGATGATGTCGTCTCTGCGGTTCCTACAAAACGTGTTCTTGATCAGAAAATTCTCATCAAACGAACTGCCTCCATCAAGGTCCCTCTCCCTTACTCTCCATCATTCACATTTTAGTATTGTTTGATATAACTTAGAACATGACATTGTTTGATGCAGAGGTTTATACTTGCTTCATACAGAGCAGATCCGGACAAAACACAAGTCTCTGATCTTGATCACGGCTTCTACTCCAAGAAATCTGAGATAAGACGTCTTATAGAATCATCAAAGATTCCACACACATACATTTTCTGCGGATTGTTCATGAGGATTCTACTTCCATCTCTTGTGCAACCTGGTTTTCAAGTTATGCCGAAACCTAAATGCTCAGCAAAGAACAGTTGCACTTTTCTGTCATATCGGATATATTCCTATGTGTCATTTCAGAACTCTTAGAAAATAATCTCCTCCAATGGATAAAGTCACAATCTTTGGAGATGGAACGTTAAAGGTTTCTCCTTTTTTTTTCCTTTAACTACATACAAGTCTCCGCTTTAATAACACAAGTCTTTTATATCAGTTGGTTTGTTATGTCTGTTTGTTTGTGTAGCTGTTTTTATGAATGAGGTTGATGCTGCTGCATTTACAATCAAAACGATTGATGATCCTAGAACACCGAACAAGACGTTGTACTTTAGACCGCATGGGAAGCTCTCAGAAGACGATCAAACAAGTTCCACAATCCACATATCAGATTTCTCATAGGTTTGCTCTAATGGTTTCATTAAATTAACCAGATATAGTTGATCACTGAGATCAGTGCATTTGCTGACTTTCTTACACTGTCTCTTTTATCTCCTGCAGATTGTAAAACCAGTTCTATGTTAATATGCTCTCCGCTTTTTTGTTCAAACTTTTTGTGAAAATTAGAACCAATAAGAGTTTGAGTAAATATAACCAATGGGCACACTAACCCATGTTTCTGATTTTTAGCAGGATTCAATGGACCTTTTTTTTTTGTCACAGAGATTCAATGGACCTATAAACGACAGTGATTTGCTATAAAATGTGAGTATTGATCTTTTTGTAATGTTTACTGTGGATCTATATTCTTTACTAACACCAGGGAAGGACAATATGATTTGAAATTATTGTTTGCTCAGTTGACCTGATTGTTTTAATATTGTTTTGTCCATACTGTGATAGTTAAAGATTCTTACTGTGTGGGAGAGTAGAGCTGTTCGAACTGCCAAAGTAACATGAAAAGCGTAGTATTCACTACACCAAAGGTACAATTCAAATGCCTTAAATTGCGTTTCTCAATTTATTTATTCATGTATTTCGTCTCTTACGGAACTCTTTCATTTCATCTATTTTTCTCTTTATACCTAATAATGTTCAATCAGGAGTGAACTGCCAACTTAGTAATACAAGTGTTATTTCCTCTAATTTTTCTTTGTTTCCGCCTTTAAATCTTTCTTGCAGGTTGGAGTATATAGTCACTGACTCGCTACCTCAACTTCTGATAACCAACTTGGTGTTTGGGATTGCATAATCAATAATAACCTTTATTGATATTGACGACAGTCTTATTTAAGGTGAGTCCATTGTTAGCATCTTCTTAGATTGATTATGATGCTTTTGTGTGGGGTGATTTTGATTGATCTCAGTTTAGATCATTTGATTGGCTTCCTTGCTTCAGATTCAATCAGGCTTCATACTGAGTATATTTTTTCCCTCTCGGATATGAAGCAAGTTTTTGTATGTCCAAAATTTTAACATTATCGACTTAGTGGGTGTTATTGGTTTTGGAAGTTTAATGGAATCTGATAGAATGTAAATCTGGAAAGAAATCCACTGTTATTCAATTGGGATTTGATGAATGTGAATTAAAATCCAGTGTTATTGGATTAAGAATTTGTTAAATATATTTCGTAGGAATTGAAATCACCTGTTATTCAATTCCAAATGGATTTTATTAGAATTGAGGCTTAATAGATTATGATGTACTTTTCATCAAAAAATAAGCTTGATTCAAATCCGACACTTTTTATTTGGCTTTTGAAGTACTTATAGCTTCGTCTCTTTCTCCTCCGTTCCTCACCACCTCGCTTCACCTCCAGCGTCTCCTCAAGGACACCAAACTTTTCACCGGATCCCTAACCACTCGACGTTTCTCTCCTCCTCCATACGTTCACCTACGTCTCGCAGTCCTACAAACCTTCCGCTGGAACCTCGTCTGCTTTGAATTGTGAACTCAAAAACCAGAAAATATAAATACAATGGTTTTTGCTTGATTAAGTGTTGACAGGAGATAATACATATAGAAGACTTTGACGACAAAACATTTTAGACGACAACACCATATCTTAACAGCTGAAGATATATGGTGTTGTTTATTTGGATACAGTTGGGAAAAAATCATGCAAGTTGTTGAGATCAATCAACGACATCTTGTTGACCAAAATTAAAAACCATTGAACTTTTAAACGTTGGGAATCAAATGTTTGTTCCTTTCAAAAATCTTCTCCATATATTACGTGTTGATTCGTTACTAAACAGACTTTGTTACCTATATTCTCTGAATATCAACAAATTTTTTTTAAATCATTGGATATTTTTATCTCGAAGGTATCAACAAGTTTCTCTATATAAACTGTTTACAGCAACTGGCTTAAAACACACCCGAACAAAAAAAACTGAAGTAAGTTATTTTGTGTATCTTAATGGACAAAAACAATTCAATATTCATATGTTGTTTTTTAAGACTTACACATCACTTTTGTTAATATTTTGCAGATGTCTTACTGCTAGCAAGTGTTTGACTGTTCCATACGATCACCCTATCGCCATTATGGATAACATGTAAGTTATTCTTTTCTATACTGCATATCCTTCCTAAATTCTGTGAACTTTATATGTTTGTTCGTTTAATAGATTATCAAGAGTTCTGTGGTTGTAAAATATAAATGCATAATTCTTTCAAGACACGTTTTTGATATATCATAGCTTTGACTTGATTAGTTGTATGAAAAAGGACACGTATTGGTCTAACTCAAATATTATTGACACGTCTTTGGAGGATTTCTTTTATCTTTTGGCCATATCTCAACTAGTCTTCCACGTTAATATATGCAAACAATTAGTTATATAATAGTATTTCTATAAATATATATATATATATATAATATAATACTAGATCTCGATCCGCACAACCGTGCGGGTATTTTAATACGAAAATATGTAAAGTTATATAATATTCCGTCCGTTTCAAATTAGATGATGCTTTAAAAGATTTATTTTGTTTCCAAAAATAAGATGTTTTAAAATTTTTAGGGGTATCTTGAGGTTTTAAGATTACTTTTAACTATATTGTAAATTGTTCAACCAATAAAATTTTACTTCTGTTTTAGTAATTGGTTGAATGATTTTAAAATTATCTTTAAAAATACTTTTTTAAAATAATATAAATTTCTTTGTATAATGATCCAAAAACATCATATATTAAGAAACATAGGGAGTAAAATTTATCAATAAATAATTAAAATTTGTAGTCTATATACTATCCAGTTTTATAATAATATTTACGTGGCTTATAATGTTATTAATATAAGTTTTATAATAATATTTACGTGGCTTATAATATTATTAATATAAATTTTATAATAATATTTGTAGCAATTTTAAAAAAAAAATATTATGTAGCATTACTAATTTATATATTTTCTTTTATTTCTAAATTTAAAATATATGTAAAAAGTAAATGAAGTTGGACCTACATAATACATAAACAAAATTTTGGGATATTGTTAAAAGTAGTTCACATAATTTTAATTTTTTGTATATAATTAAAAAATGAATTAAAATTTTTAATCAAATAATTTTTGAAACTATATCTTGAAAAGATTCTAAAAGATTTTTAAAAGATTTTTTTAGAATTTTCTTAAAACTATTTATTTGTATTTCAAAAAAAAATTAAAGATATGAAAAGATATTATAATGATGTAATATAAAATTTTGTAAAATTTCTAAGATAAACTAAAAAATCACACATGAAGTGAGTCATGACTTCTCTTTTAATATAATAGATTATATATTTAATATTCATAAACTATAAACATAATATAATGTCATTTGACTAGAAATTTGACGGAAGATTCACAACAAGAAAAGGCGAAAGGAGCATATGAATTTTGGAATGTTCGAGAAACGACAGTGCTGATTCGACTTCTCGTTGACGGTATTAATCAAGGGTGGCGTGACAAAAATGGGAGCATGAGCAAAATGACTGTGGAAAAAAAGATTCTACCGGTTTTGAATGCCACAGTTGGTTGCCAAAAAACTCATAAGCATTATTTAAGTAAAATTAGGAGTTTAAAGAAGCTATATAAGAGCATGCAAGACCTGACTCGATTCAGTTCTGGATTTGGATGGGATCCCATATCTAAAAAGTTTACAGCTCCTAACCACGTGTGGGATGATTACGAAAAGGTCTTATTTTTTTTTTAAAGCTTAAAATATTTCTTCAAAGTTTTAAACTAATATATATGTATATATATATTTATTAAAGGCACATCCAACTAAGAAGAGTATGCGAGATGAAACTTTTGAAGATTATGAAGACTTACAGCTAATATTTGAGCAAGGATTAGCTACCGGAAAAAATGCTATCGGTTTAGGAGACGATACCGATGCACAAACATTTGGAGCCAAAGATGATGAGCCGTTTGAATTAGATCCTACATCTTTTGAATATGTGGAGAAAGAAGGATCTCAAGCATCAGGGTTCTCCAATTCAACTTTGCTAAGAAGCACAAAAGGCCCATCACAGAAGGCACCCCCTAAAAAGAGAGCTAAAGGTGTCGAAGGTGAAGAATCCAGTAACTCAAACATGGATGGTAGCCATATGGAGAAGTCTTTTAATGAAATGATTGAGATAAGCAATCAGATTGTTAGTTTGATTCAACAAAGAGAAGAAAGACAACAAAGAGAAGCCAACTTGAGAGAAGTGGAGAAAAACAAGAATAATATCTGGGAAGCAATCAAAGAAATTTCTGGCTTGGAGGAAGATGTTCAATATGATACTTTGAAAGAACTTCACAAATGGGGGATGAAAGACGTGTTCATCAACATGTCTGTTGAAGAACGTATGGGATGGATACGAAGGAACGTTAAATGATGCTTTGTTCTAAATTTCTTAGTTTCTAGTTTTTTCTTTCAATAATAACATGTTTCTTTATTTAATTATAATAAAAAAATTTCTTTGCAGTCTAAGAATTAAATAATATTTAATAGCACTAACATTATCTTTGTCAATATATATTAATATATTAGTCCATATATTTTAATAATACTAGTCCATATATTTTAATAATATTAGTATCACTAGTTGTTTGAGATAATCATATTAGTCCGTAATTTTAATATATTCATTTTTTCTTGCATAAGGTTAAGAGATGAAAATGAAGATTCTGATGTTATAAGAGAACAAATAGAAGACGAAGATTTAGATACAAAAGTGTTGCATTTGTTGGTGACAATGACCGGATTGGCACAAATATTGATTGCACATCAATATTTCAAATTTAAAAGCTATATTGAATATCCAATTCGACGCCCCATCACAAGAGTTGGATACGACTATATACACAAGGTGATGCAAGAAGATCCTCAACATTTTCGACAGTTGTATCGAATGTATCCAGATGTGTTTCTCAGGCTATGTGACCTTATTAAAGAAACAACAAATCTGAAAGATACGAGATTCATCTGTGTTGAAGAAATGGTTGCCACTTTTCTAGTCACCGTCGGCCAAAATTCAAGGTATTGTCACACCATGGATACTTTCAAAAGATCAAAATTTGCAACAAGCACAAACTTCCACAAAGTCTTAAGGGCAATAAATACAATTGCTCCAAGTTTGATGGCCAAACCCAAACTCACGGTACCTACGAAAATCAGAGAAAGTACAAGATTTTATCCTTACTTTAAGGTATATGTACTTTTTTATTTTTTTATTTTTTATTTATTATTATATTCATGAAAACTAATACATCATATATATTTTAGGATTGTTTGGGAGCAATTGATGGTACTCATATACCAGCTATGGTACCTATGTGTGATGCTCCTAGCTACCGCAATCGAAAAGGACAAATATCGCAAAATGTGTTGGCTGTTTGCAATTTTGATATGGAATTCATATATGTTCTTAGTGGATGGGAAGGCTCAGCTCATGATTCAAAAGTATTATATGATGCTTTAACTAAGAGAACTAATAAATTTGAAGTTCCACATGGTAACTATTTTTATGCTACATAATATTTTTATTTAGTAAATGATGAGCTAATATTTTATTTTAATTCTATTTCAGGAAAATTTTACCTAGCTGATTGTGGATTTGCTAACAGATGCAGATTTTTAGCTCCTTTTCGAGGTACTAAATATCATCTTCAAGAGTTTACTGGCCAAGGTTGTGATCCTGAAACTCCACATGAATTGTTCAATCGTCGTCATGCCTCTTTAAGAAATGTGATTGAAAGAATATTTGGAATATTCAAATCACGGTTCCCAATATTTAAATCTGCTCCTCCATTTTCTTTCAAGACACAAGCAGAATTGGTATTGGCTTGTGTAGCTTTACATAATTTTCTTCGCAAGCATTGTCGATCAGATGAGTTTCCTATTGAAGTTCCCGAACAAGCTACCAACGCAGAAAATATGGAAGGCAACAATGAAAGAGATGATTCTGAAAATGTTGAAGAAATTTTGGAAACACAAGATCAAGAAAGAGAAAGTGCTAATATCTGGAGAGAAACAATGGCTCAAGAAATGTGGAAAGATGCAACTACTTAGGATTTTTTTTTAACAGCAGCTACTAATTTTATTTATTTCCAAAAGATATTATAATAATAATTTTTGAGTTTTTTTTATTGTTGATTTGGATATAAAATCCAATAAAATCCTTAACAAAGAAATCCAAATGTATTTCACACCATTCTATTCAAATCATTCTCATCGTGAGAAGACTCCACTCAAATCTATTAAAAGAATCCTTATTACAGTTATATTCAATTCCACTAAACTTCCAAAACCAATAACACCCCCTTACTCATCCCAAGAAGTGCTCAGTTGAAATGTCTTGATGTTTGTTAGCTCTTATGGTGCATGTAGATCTGAACAAAGCAGAAATTTCTCGGCTCCAAATTGTATCTGACATCATAAGAGTGAGGAGAGTGATTACCAATACTTTCTAGAGTCATTCTTTCCAGAAGTGATACTCGCCCAAGAATAGAACCCAAGCTACTTTACCGGAGCTTCCTGAAGCAAAGCTCAGGATATACGAAGCCAAGGGCCCATAGGTCTAGGCACTCAACATGTGTTTTTCCTGGAAAATGACGCTAATGTAAGTCCCATATGCTCAAAGAGTTTGATAAGGAAACAATCAGCGAAAGCAAAAGAGTTAAAACTTTCAAATAAGGGTTGTGTGGATATATTTAGTTTTGATTCATATTAAGACATGAATTTTTTTTTTGGAATGAATGGCTTACACAGAACATTTCACTGCAGTTATTGGCATGGGCGCTGACTGAAGTTTGCAGCAAATTTGCTAATGAGTGATATCGTTGGTTTTTTTAACAATTAGGAACTCTCAGTCAATGGTGTTAACCTTACTCCTTAAGAGTTGTCTAAGATGATACATGCAATCAAAAATGAAACCATTAGCGGAACGAGTTGTAAACAAGTCAATTTTACTTAATTTTAATCTAGAGATATCACTTTCCATTTTCAAACAGAAGCGGCAAGTATGAAATTTAATTATTTAAGAAATGTCCGTGATTTCAGAAATGTTTTGTTCTGCGACCAAGGCTTCCACAATATCTTTTGTTTATAAAATGTTTCATCCAACCTAATTTAAAACCTTTAATTTGCTACATTACACTATCTTATATATATCATCAATATCAGACGAAATTGTATTTCTAAATTACACAATATTCTGATGTATATTCATTCCTCTATTTCAGTTTATTTTACACCTATATACAGAAAAGAGTTACCTTATTAAATCATGTATTTTATGATTAATACTAAGCTTAAAATAAGATCCATGTATTTTATGAAATTATTTGTGTAACAAGAAAAATATTTAAATGGCTATCTATAAATTAGAGAAATTTATATTTTAAAGTAGTCAAATAAAATAATTAGTTTTAACTATAAGAATTCATGATTTATCTTATTATATTTCTTTTATATAATAATTAAACTAAACTTAAATAAAATAGTATAAAATATTATAAAATAATATACGAAAAACAGTACTACATCCACTTAAGAAGTAAACAAAAATTCATCACAACTCAGTCATCCTGAAAACAAACTTAATATTTATATTTTTTAATGTTGCTCATATTTTTTGAAGCATAGATTTAATTACCAAAACTGAGATAGTAAAATTTATCTAAAATTGTGAACTCTTAATATATGAGAGGAATTAAAAGCCATAACTAAATCAACGTGCTGAACTATCTCAGTTTACAAACAAACCAATCTTGACTATATATGTCACTCCTAATGAAATATAAGAAAGGCACATCCAGCTCTACCAAAGCAAGGTGTTCAATATTATAAAGTGGGACTAAATATTATTATAATTATATAAAAATGTAAATATTATTAATTTATTATTTAACCACTGGTACATTTGATAGTTAATCATTCATAAGTATCCCGCAAACGTACTAATTTCTAACCGTTATATCAGCCGTATAAATATTTTAATTATGTTTAAAACCATAATTATCGTATTTGCAAACGTCTGCAACCGCATCCACAATTGTTGTGGTTACACCAGTCATGTCTTAATAATCAGTTTGAGTTACACCACTAAACAATAATTCCATGATAAAAAAGTTTACAATTTACTTCTCTATTTCTTATTAAATGATGTTTTGGTCACATGCATAAGAATTAAGAAAAAAATTTAAATAGTATTAGTAATATAAATCCAAACTGAGCTAATCAAACATAAATAATAAACATAATATTATTGGTCCAGTAATTTTCAAAAATGAAAAAATTATAGTATCAAAACATCTTACATTTTCCAACACAAATCTTTTGTAAAACATATAAATTATGAAACAAAGAATATTTAAATTTTATGCACAAAACAAAAGGAAAATAGAAATATTAGGTAAAACTAATATTTATAAAAAAAGAAAAAATAGAAAAATAAATAAAATTTTAAACATGTGTTCCGCGCGTAGCGCGGAAAAAAGATCTAGTTTCAATAAAATCATCTAGAACTTTATTAATAAATCAAATCATTTTAAACTTTAGATTGTACAATTCAAACATTTTCGTATTAGAGTTAGATATGGTATTTGAAACATATGACCCAGAAAACGTTTCAGTGGGAGACCACCACGTAACCCTTTCAAAAGCCAGCTAGCTTCTTAGAGGTCGCCGGTTCAATTCACTTTTGATATAACATAACAGTTATTCCCTTTAATTAAACTCATGTGGCAAAAAGGTGAGAATTCTCCACTTGGATATTTCACCATTTTTGTTTCGAAATCATTCCAGTGCATATACTTCTTCTAAACTTAAATATGATATTTGATATTTTATGAGTCAAAAAGAAAAATTAATCTGCACCACCAAATTGACTTTGAGTGGATTGATATAAAGTTGTATATATTTTTTTGTGATTTTTATCTTTAAAGATTAAGTGGTAGACGAATCTGAGACATTCTTAAAAGCCGTTCTGTCCGGATAGATCATATCTATATAGATAAAAAAAGTACCGTTGTTCTTTGCTTCTTTAACGAGATAATCTGTGCGCAAATTCCTAATCATGGGTGTGCGGGAGATGTTAAAATCCGAAAAGTTGAATTTTAGAAGATGGAAAGATACTACCTCGAAAGCAAAGGCCAGCCAGTAAGAGGCAGTCTAATATATCCTCTAAGTTGGAGCAATCTATCTCCATGTGAACCGCGTTGCAATGGATCTCTCTTAGGCATGATACTACCCAAATAAATTCTTCCATCTCGGCATGAATGACTGATAGGCTCTTCTGACATCCTTGTAATCCGAATCTTTTGTAATCCAAATCTTTCGACTCCCATTTGATCCTTATAGAACCATCCTAATCCACTGACCATACCACTATCG